ACTTAAACACTTGAAAAACTACACAGCTAAACGATATAAAATTTGAGAAATTCATTCTCAAAATGTTTATATTTATTAATCACAGTTTATAAATTCATACTCTAATAATCGCTTGTACAATGAATTTTGAAAAATGGAATAGATAAAAATTTATTTGGGGACCTTTCTACCATTGTAAATCTGGTTGAATTTAAACTCTTTTGAACCCCAAAGTGTGAAATCATGTAGGACTAATGTCAGTCCAAGAGGCATGTGAAATGTTGGACACCACAGGTTCACATATTAAATGGACAATCTGTTCATAATCTTTCTTAATCATTAACAATTGTTGTACACTTTACAGATACAACTATCCGAATTTAAAATCTCTAAAGAGAATAACGTTCCCATTAACTAATAGTCCAATTTTCCTTTTGAAGTTGCTTTCTCTTCATTCTTGTTCCATCTCTAATAAATACAAAGCAATTAAAACTATGAATTTAAGGCAGTGAGTGGCTTCAAAGAATGTCTGTAAGTGAATAATTTTGGCAAGATCTGCAAAGACAACTCGAGAAAGAAACAAAGTGAAAGATAAATTGAATTTGTGTTGTCCCACTAATTCAATGTACTCCCTAATATATTTAATTTCAAAGAGAAAAATATTGTACTGTTTTAGCATCACAATTACGTCAACTTTTATTTTTCTAAACTTTTTAAATTATAATTTTTTTTATTTTTTATAGGTTTATATATCACCAAATCCGAGGTCAAAGATGTGGGCTTAGTAGTATCCTAATATGTAGTTTTTTTTTTGAAAGGGTTCGTTTTGTATGTTATAAATAAAGAGAAACCATACAAAACGTAAACATAAGCATGAATCTTGTTAAAAAAAATTCTCTAAATCATACAAAATATAAACATAGAAAGGAGACTCGTTAAAAATCTCTCTAAACTTATATAGAGAAAAAGGAGACACCATGAAAATGTTCGGAAGAACAATAGGCATAATATTCCGATCGAAATAACCCACGAAAGACCACACAACTCGCACTTGCCAACCGGTACTTAATGAACGTGAAAAATAGGGTTTAGAGAATATTAAAAACTCACCTCATGTTATCTATAATGTGTATACAAAGAAACAAAAATGTGTAATTTTTACTTGATTTTCCAATTAATTGAATAATTTTATATTTCGGCACATTAATATCTATTATATATCATTATATTCTTTATTAAATTGTTATGTATCTAATTTAATTTTATTATCTAAATCATCATGTCATGCGTGAAATAAAAAATATTGGGATAAAGTCTTTACTAGCTGCAATTGACATTTCAAGAGTTGGTGATAGTTGTCAGCGATTTTGGTTGGGTTGTGATATTTTTACTATAAGGATCAAATCAAAAGAAATATTAAATTATAAGAATCAAAATGAAAAATTTTAATATTATAAAGTAGGGTTACACTTATCAATTATTTATAAATGATATATTTATGAAAAAAAAACAACTTTTTAAATCCAATAGATTAAAGAAAAAGAACGCTAAAGATTTAAAATTAGCAATAAGAATTTAAAATAAAAAAAATGAGATTTTTAGATGAAAATAATAATAAAACACTTTCAATAGCGTGTAGATTTTTTTAATTAAAAAAAATGGATTTTAAAAAATTTCTTAATCAAACATCCAAACAAAAAAGTATGATATTTCAAAATTATTGCATACTATAATTCTGTAGTTCTTACTTTTCTATATATCTTTCTAGGTTATCTTATTTTTATTTATATATATTATTAAAAAATTAAAAGTTAATTACATCTTTGTCCTTAAACTATAATTTTCATTTTAAATTGGTCCTTAAACTTTTGAATATTCTAATTTTATCATAAAACTATGATACTCATTCTAAACTAGTCCTTGGACATTTGAACATTTCAATTTCATCCTCAAACTATGACCCACATTCTAAATTAGTCCCCAAACTTTTAAATCTTCCAATTTCATCCCCAAATTCATCTAAATATGTAAATAGTTTTAACCATAGTTTAACCTAAACTTTATTTTTTTAAATATATAATATAGATTGAACTAACTATTTTATTAACATGGAATGTGATTAATATATATGTATATATAATTTAGGCTGAAATTGATTTGTTAAAAAAAGTTTGGGGGCCAATTTAGAATGAAGGATATAGTTTGGGGATGAAACTAAAATATTCAAAAGTTTGAGGAAAAATTTAGAATCATAGCCATAGTTTAGGGATGAAATTAGAGCATGTATAAGTTTAGGGACCAATTTTAAAAAAGAATCATATTCTGAGTACGTATGATACAATTAACTCAACAATTAATTATTGCAAAGTTAGATTATAAAAACTTAATTTAACCTCAAATCTTTGAAACCATTGAAACAATAAATTAGGTAGAATTAGGGCTGTAAATGAGACGATACAGATCGCGAGCTACTTGAGATTGACTTGGTCAAGGCTCGATAAATACTCTAATCGAATGGACTCGACTCGAGCTCGACTCGAATTCTTAACGAGCCAAAACGAGCTACTTAATACTCGACTCTAAAAGCTAGTGAGCAGTTCAAAAATATAATATATTAAGATTTTATTTTAAAAAAATAAATTATTAATAATATCAACATTTATGTGTTGATTTTTAAAACAAATACAATAAGGTTTTCTTGTATTTAATGTTCAGATTCGAGTTTGAGGCTTCAATATAGTTAAGTTTAAGAAATTTTTTTCTTTCGTTTTGAATCTTTTCAAGCTGCTCACGAGCTTCAGTTCAGGATTTCGAGTTCGAGTCGAGCTTGAAATTTTTAAGCTCACGAGTTTTCGAGTCGAGTCGAGCTCTATTTTAGAGTTTTCAAGTTGAGTCAAGCTTAACAATACTCGAGCTCGACTTGGCTCGTTTACACCCTAGATAGAATAAATAATGGTTCCACGCGCACGCACAGAATTACAAAATGTCGCTTTAGTATTAGCATAATAGTAGATAAGATGACATAACGCGCGCGCACACAATTATCACTATTATCACAAAATAACAAAATTATTACTATTATTTTAGTTTTGCTAATGATGATAGTCAAATGTGGCTTTAGTATTAGCATAATAGTAGATAAGATGATATAATAATATCAACTTGGCAACTTTGAAGGATCATAGTGCGTCAACTTGTAAGTGAGTAGCTTTCCAAAAAGATGATTGCAAATATTGGATTTGCCAATGAAATAATCGACTACCTTGCCTTTAACAATTCACATGTAATCATTGTTTTAACAACTTTATGTCTAGATTCTATCTCTCAAAGAAATTTAAAAGGGATTGTCTTTTTTAAGTAAAAAAATTATTTTATTAAGATCAAAATAAGGATACATCACTTTGACAAAAAAAAACTCATTAAATAAAACCTAGCTCTAAAATGGAGGAAAAAGATTATTCTTGACAAAGGCAAACCAAACGAGGAGACCAATATGAGACCTGCACCAAATCACCGAATAACAACCAAACCCAACGGTGATACTCCAACTAAAACTTACCATTACAGTTAGACAAACAAACAACTCCAAGTAAGCAAAATCACATACCAATTTAATAAAGAACATCCAACCCCAATGTTAGACCTGCTGCAGAATCAGAGAGAGAAACTTGCCACACACCATAAAATATTAAGATGAGATTCAAAGCAAAGCTCGTTGTGTGCTATGAAAGCCAAACATTATGAATCATTGCTATCAAACTTCTCCGCAAGCCTGCTGAAATAACACAGAAACTAGCACCAACAGGCACTAGAACACTACCAGACTGAACACACCCCAATCACATCAATCCCGCACACAGAAGTCAACCCCTTCAACAGAGAGCAGTTAAGCTACACGCACAAAATTCACATTTCGATAAATACCAACTTTAACCAAAGCATCCGCTTCTATATTAGACACTCTTGGTATTTTCCTAACGAACCAATTTTTACTATAGATGACCTCGGACAGTGAACTGACAAACGAAACAAATGGCAACATCGATTTCACATGGTCTAATACCCAATCAACCACTTCAAAACAATCACATTCAATAATAAGGCAAAAAATAATTCACCTAGTTAATAGCATAATTAATTACTAACAATTTAGCAAGGGAAACAGAACCAGTACCTCCTGAAGCCGAGAATTCCAAAAGAATAGACTCGTTACTATCTCTTAGGATGCCACCTAGACCACACTTCCCATGAAAATGATTACACGCTCTATCAATACAGAATGACAGAAAACCAGACAGAGGAGGCCTCTATTTAACCATTGCGATGTTCGAAGCTAGCGAGGCAATGGAATGAGAAAGCAAGGATAGATCAACCATAAAAATATACACAGGAACATGATAGTTAGGGAATTTAGCTTTGAACCACCACACTAGTCGAGACTTAACAATAAAAAAGATATGAGCTAGATAAAAAACAACCATTTTAAAAATAACTTCATTCCTCACAAGCCAAATAGACCAGATTACCACTGGGGGAATAAGGTTCCAAACAACTTCACAATAAGGTGAAGGAAAAGATCCCTTCCATGCCAGTATGAACGATTGAGGAGAATTTTGAAAAACAAAAGAGAATCCTCAAAAGGACTCAAGCGTTGTGAGAATGCTGCCATGGAGGCTAAGAATGATGAAAGCTCAAATGAAGGAGGAGGAAACTTAAAGATAGAGAGATGACAAAATGAAGATTTTATTGATCATTGAAGAAAGTACTCTGCCTACAATCTAATATAAGTCTGGCTTATATAGCCCAAGTAACCAACAACTATAACAACTAATAACAAGCTAATAACAAACCATAACAAACTCTAACAAGCTTTGACCATAACTACCAAACACCGGAGCAAGTGAAGAAGAGGTGTTCAACTGACTCTTCAAAGGCCTTACAAAAAGGGCAAAGCATATTATTCTCAAGCGGCACACCCCTCTTTACCAATTCCTTTTTAACATGAACTCAACCAAGGAGAACTAGCCACAAAACAACTCAACTTTAGGAGGAGCAATACCAAACCAAACAGTGGATTTCCAACCAATAATAGGACTATTCAGATTGTCAAGGAGCGACTTAACAGATTTAACAAAAAATCGACCATCATTTGAGCCTTTCCACAGCACCCATTCCTCATCTAAGTTAGAACCTCTAAAATTAGCAAGGACCCCCATGAATTCTGACCATTGAGCTTGCTCCCAGTCGAATAGCTTGCGGTGCAACTGAATGGACCACAACCATTCCTCGGGACCTCTCGAATCGAATTTAGAAATAGGCCCCGACTTCACTCTTGCCAACGAGAAAATTCTTGGAAACTTTACGGATAACGAGATTTCACATATCCACAAGTCACCCCAAAAGGAGATAGAGTCACCATTACCAACTTTTATTTTGGAGGATAACACCAACTCATCAGATTCGAAGAAAGATTTTAGAGCGCTTTTCCAAAACCATGATGCCTTCCTATGCGGCTCAGCATGAGGGATGAGGGAATTTGCATCAATTTAATACTTGCAAGCAAGAACCTTCATCCAAAGACTATCTTTTTCCGTCCCGAATCTCCATATCCACTTCCCTAAAAGTGCCCGATTAGATTTTCGAAATGAAATAAGACTACATGCCTTTTTTTATATTTTTTTTATAAAAGTTGGAGGTCTCATTAAAAACTCCCTTCGTATTCTTCCACATACTAAGAAGTATGTTGAAGAACATTGGAAGGAAGAAAAGAGTGCCTCATAATTTATTAAATAGAATACCAAGTACATGTGAAAACACCGAATACCCTCATTCGGGAATATACACCATTACAAAAAATCATATCACCTAAAAATCTCCCATCGTCAAACAAAAAGCCCCAAAGACGGTAACCCGATTTCTAAAATACACCTCAAGTTGTAAAAAAACATAACAAACCATAACAAGCTAATAACAAACCATAACAAACTCTAACATTCACTCTACTTTTCCACCTTTTAATTTTCTTCAAAATGAACTTGCTATTAGAAAGTTGATCAAACAAAGAGTGCAAACTTAATAAGCTGGAATTTAATCGTCTTGTCGTCTCGATGAACAATTTACCGGAAAAATTCTCTTTCACCTAAAACATCTTCTTTGTTCAACTTTTCTAAGCTTTTCTTCTTCTTTTCAAGAGTTTTTTTTTCATCTTCACTGTTCTTCCTCTTCACTTATTGGGACTTTTTTTTGTTGGAAGCAAGGCGGTTAAGCTACGAGCTCCCGGATGCAATCTGAAGCCTCTCTTGGGTAAGAAAACATCATATTTTGTCTGGTTAAGGAAGACAATGTTGTTAAACTCTTAACCCTCCCCATAGATTTTCTTCTATGGTAACTTGGCTGTTAAGCCTCAAAGTTCTATGTCAAACTTTGGAGAAGAAGTAACAACTGATGAATGATACTCTATGAACACCTTAAAGTTGCTATATGATTGGAGAACCGAACGGAAAAATGCATAACCAGCAAAACAGTAGATGCACCAACTAAACCACTCAATGGTCACCTTAGAATCAAACCATCAAGAATTTGTAGCAGCAAAACCACAATACGAACGAATAACACGAGCAGTAGTGATCCAAAGCACCAAAAACGTATAAGGCTAGCATTTGAACCCATATATTGAAGTAATAAGTAAAATGCCAGTGGCACCATAATTGCATAACCGTATATTCCAGAAGCTGCTACATTTATATAGCCAACATCAAAGCTCCAAGAAGTAATGCCATCGACATGTTTTTTCATAAGGTATGTGGCAAAGTTTACAAAGGAAGAAAGCACGAAGACCAATGTAGTTGTGATCCAGATATTCCCATACAGATCAAGGTTAGCGTCAATCTTACTGAAAAAATCTCCACCAGTAGGATAAAATGAACTGATCAGCATGTTTATCACAACATCTGTATCCACGTTAAAATATTGTGTGTATGATGAGATATTAAACACTCCCTTCCAGTTGTTTGGTGGCTGTTGTTCAAGGCTTCCAGTTGGAGCTTCAAGAGTTTGATAACCTTGACCTCTACTTCCTCCACTGCCATTATTCGGAGGGAAATATTGAATATTCGCTTCAGGAACTGCAAATGAGGCCTTCTTTTCTTTATTTATAATAGATGGAACTGAGCCGAGTAAATGTCTGGTTGGAAGATTTGAATACGACGATGAATCATCCATTGCAAAATAAGAGATCGAATCAAGAAATGAACAGAAAGTGTGATTTTCTTGATGAAAAATTGGGGAAAACGATGCGCTTTGCCGTAAATCGGAAGCAACGACCTTCTTGATGAGGTGATACAAATCCTTAAGAATTTCAGGGGCAAGACCATGGGCCTTAAGGATGCGCAAGATCTTGCTTCCAGTAACGCTCTTAACCTGAGCAATACCATAAGAATCACTAAGAATGACACCAATATGAGATGGGGTCAAGCCCTTATTTGCGAACTTGTAAATGTTTTCCTCAACAACTTGAGAAGAGATCTTGAGCCAGCTTGGTGGGGTTCTCTTATAAGGCAGAGCTGAGGCAGAAATACCTTTACCGCGACTGTGAATACGACCCATGGTAACAAAGGATTTTCGATGAAGAAAACAAAAAACAAACAGACGGTGAATACAGAATGACGGTGGTTGAGGATTCGGTTACTGATCGATGTTTAGAAAGAAAACAATAACAAATGCAAGCGGAATAAAGATTGCCGCATGATCATCGATGAATGATACCATGTGAGAATGCTGCCATGGAGGCTAAGAATGATGAAAGCTCAAATGAAGGAGGAGGAAACTTAAAGATAGAGAGATGACAGAATGAAGATTGTATTGATCATTGAAGAAAACACTCTACCTACAATCTAATATAAGTGTGGCTTATATAGCCCAAGTAACCAACAACTATAACAAACTAATAACAACTAATAACAAGCTAATAACAAACCATAACAAACTCTAACAAGCTTTGACCATAACTACCAAACACCGGAGCAAGTGAAGAAGAGGTGTTCAACTGACTCTTCAAAGGCCTTACAAAAAGGGCAAAGCATATTATTCTCAAGCGGCACACCCCTCTTTACCAATTCCTTTTTAACATGAACTCAACCAAGGAGAACTAGCCACAAAACAACTCAACTTTAGGAGGAGCAATACCAAACCAAACAGTGGATTTCCAACCAATAATAGGACTATTCAGATTGTCAAGGAGCGACTTAACAGATTTAACAAAAAATCGACCATCATTTGAGCCTTTCCACAGCACCCATTCCTCATCTAAGTTAGAACCTCTAAAATTAGCAAGGACCCCCATGAATTTTGACCATTGAGCTTGCTCCCAGTCGAATAGCTTGCGGTGCAACTGAATGGACCACAACCATTCCTCGGGACCTCTCGAATCGAATTTAGAAATAGGCCCCGACTTCACTCTTGCCAACGAGAAAATTCTTGGAAACTTTACGGATAACGAGATTTCACATATCCACAAGTCACCCCAAAAGGAGATAGAGTCACCATTACCAACTTTTATTTTGGAGGATAACACCAACTCATCAGATTCGAAGAAAGATTTTAGAGCGCTTTTCCAAAACCATGATGCCTTCCTATGCGGCTCAGCATGAGGGATGAGGGAATTTGCATCAATTTAATACTTGCAAGCAAGAACCTTCATCCAAAGACTATCTTTTTCCGTCCCGAATCTCCATATCCACTTCCCTAAAAGTGCCCGATTAGTTGACTCAAAATCGATGAGACCAAGGCCACTTTCCTTAATCGGGAGGCAAAGAATGGACCATTTAACCCAATGTATCTTCTTCTTATCCAGGGACCCACCCCAAATGAAATTGAGACAAGATTCACCATCCAAGAAAGAATCTTGTTATTGTTATATATATAATTTATTTTTCTTAAATAATTTTTCTAAATTTTCATTTATGTAGGCACATGACTTTTTTAGTATGAAATGTTAATATATCGTAACGTTTCAAACTTAAGTATCAATATTTATATGTTCATCCAAGTCTATAATAAGTTAAGCGGTTGATTCAATTGGTTTGATAACTTTGAACTTGGAGAAAAGAGTTGCCTTTCCAAAATCCTTCTTCTAAGAGTTGTGAAGGTAAGCTTCATATTTCAGTTTTGCATGAGCTTTATGTAAAGTTATGAAGCTATGTTATTTATGCTCGACACAATAGTGATATCATGTATTGTATATTATGTTAATGAAAATTGCATTGATGTAGGAGCTATATCTAGTTTTCCTTTAATTATCTAAGTTTAATTTTAATTAACTGACATATATACTAACTGACAAAAGGAAATGAGTTAGTATGTCAACTCGGTTGCTAATTTAATTTAGTTAAAATCATTTCTTGTTTGGATGTATAACTTCTTGCACTATTTCACTTGATATTATTGAGCGTGGATGTTTTAAAATATTGAACTCAATTTTCGACCTTGGGCATCAAACGTTAGGTTTAAGATGTTACAATGGTGATTAGATACTATGTATAAAATAATATGTTTCTTTAATACAACTGTAAACATCACTTGACGGTTAGCAGCCTCATTTTGTCTCTCAAAACTTTATTTTTGGTGGACAGACGAAAGATCACTGAGAATTGGCGTTTTACATCCAAATTCATGCGTGAAGAAAACGGGATGTCCCACTTTTCTTCTTTTTTTCCTGTTTTGAAGGCCGATGATTGCAACTGTTCCTTTTGTCATGCATGTGGGATTAGAGCTAATTGACTTATTTAACGTTAATTATTGATTGGTTAGGAAACTCAACAGTAACACAATAAATCAGACATCGACACCTCAACACAAGCTGGTCTGCTCGTGAACCGTATCAAATCAAACATTAGGGTTTGCCCCTTTCTTTTGAGACACTAAAAGAAATTATTATGACATTATCTTTTTGATCTCAAATGTTTTAATTTAGGTAAAGAGTCTCTTATTTTGGAGCGTTTACCATCTGTTAACGAATAATTTTTTATCTTAAAATAAATTTTAAATGTCAAAATACTAAAAAAATGAATAAAACCCCAAAATGACAAATTAATCAAACATAAAAAACATGTTTTATTATTATAATTTTTCTCTCGTTTGAATATCTATCTCTGACTACCCTTTTTGATTCATCATTTCACTTAATTAATTATTTTTCTTTTTAAAAAGAGTAAAGCATTAAACATAAATGTTATGTTGATATTTATTTATATGATTTATAATTAAATGTAAATAAAAATATTTTACATTAAACGAAAAATAATTTAATTAAGATCAGATCAATTTGAATTAACAGAACTAGTTTGAGTTGAACTTATAATCAAAGTGAAGTGGCAGATAAATCTTTTGGTGTAACATGAAATTATCTTGTCGTGAAAAGCTCCTATTAACTTTTTCAAAAGATTTTAGGTCTCTCAAAGTTGGTACAACATGTGAACCGGTTCTAATGCTTGTTGGAGCTATTTTTTATGTTTTAACAAAACAATATCAACAAATATAGAATATGGTTGAAATGGAGATCTAAAAAGAGTCTAATTTCTAATTTATTAATAAAATGGTGTTGATATATATATATATATATATATATATATATATATATATATATATATAGTGATGGATCCAAAAAAAATTTAAGAGTGAACATACACATATTAAAATATAAAATTTTTATATGGAGTCAACATAATAAAATTTCAAGGTGGATATAGCGTATAAAAAAAACTAATAGAAAATAGTTCAGATTTCGTACACTTGAATAAGTCATAAATCCACTTCAAAAAAAAAAGTATACATCAATTACATTGAAAAAAATATAATAAAATTTTAATCAAAATAAAACTTAGAATATTTAATATAAATTAAAAAATCGAAAAATTTGTATTTGTTGATACGAATATAATTGAATGAAGGATGGTATTAATTTTCACATGGATGGCCAAATTGGCAGTTCCGGGAATTGTGGGGGACAACAATGGTCCTCTCTCCCACTTGCTAATAGCCTGTCCGAAACAGACTGCTCCTTCCTTGGTCAGGACCACACTCTCCATCTTACAATTACAACGTTATTTGGCTGTTATTGTGCCCTTCTTTTCTTTCTTTCTCTTGCTATATAATTTCAGTTTGTTTATAAATTCATCTAACTTTATTTTTAAATGACGTGTTATCATTTGGTTTATATAAAGTGTATAATTTTATGTATTGTAAGTATATCAAATTTTAATTTAAAAATTCATTATATAATATTATAATAATATAAATGTTAAAAAATGTTAAATCATCCATTGGAACCAAACGACCTCGGTGGTAAAGGAATTGTTGTCATTCCTTAAGATCAATGGTTCGAAGTTAGAACACCAAAAGTATGAGCATTCAATATAAAATGATTGAGAGTTAACTTTTAACAAAAACTACCTTATACTTACTAATTACCTTAGATTAGTAAAAAGAAAATGTCAAGTTATCCAGAATTAATAATATAAAACACACATTTCACTATATATTATTTAAAAAAAACAAAATCAACGTACTTTAATACATTATTTAAGAATATAGATGAATAAAAATAAATTTAAAACCCTGGAAACTTAATATTATAACTATGGGACGTTCGCCTGAACCTCAATTGATGTGCGGGGAATAGTCGTTTGATTGATTTTTGGTTTGATGCTTGGTTAACCTATTGCGGTTCACTTATCAATCATGTAATCGTGATTGGGGCGACTGATTTGCATATGGTTACGGTGGCTAATATGGCAGATGATTGGGGTAATTGGTGTTGGTCCCTCTTTGATCATCTTCTTCCTTTAAGTATCTTACTAAGAATTGCGGCTAAGAAAGACCCCAAATCTTAGTTTTGCAATGATGATGTGGGATGAAAGCTTCGCGAGGATATATGTTTCACGATTAAATCTGCTTATGGATATTGTGTTGGCCCGTATTCTTCGGCTGAAGGAAACGTTTGGTCAATTATTCATCATTTTCAAGGTCCTCAAAAGATTAAGAGGTTCTTGTGACTTGTGTGTCATGATCGGATTATGACTAATGTCGAGCGTGTGCGACATCATCTTACCCTGTTTGTCCTGCCCTAGTGGAGGATTTGAATTTCTTATTCAGGCTTTGCCCTTCTCTCCTTCTATTTGGGTTGCTTGTGTTCGGCAAGATCGTCTTCAGGAATTCATCTCGATGAATTTTCAAGATTGGTTGGCATTGAACCTTGTCAATGTTCACGCTTTTATTGATATGCTGATCATTGGGATATTTTGTTTGGTTCTATTTTCTCGAACTTATGACTTTACCGCATTTGATTCTCCTTTGACAGGTATATTGTTCGAGCTTGGCATACACGAAATGAGTAACATAGCGTGAGATCTCGTTCGGGGTTTGGAGTTTCTCGTTGACAACCTCCTCCTCTTGATTGGTTGAATGTCAACAGGGATGAGGCTCAAGCGGTGGCGTCGAATCAATCTACGTGAGGAGGAGTCATGGTGGCAAGTGGAGGTTAAGATTCACTAATTATATTGGTATTTGCTATGTCTTAGAGGCTGAATTATGGGGGATTTACTTGCGAATAAGGTTTGCTT